ACGAAATAATGGAAAGCATATCTTCGTTTATATATATACATAAGTACACGCTGCAATTTTCTATCTGATTTTTGTTATTCTTTATGACGACATTATAAAAAAACTAATTTCCTTTGAATTGGTTTCACCTTTAAATTTTATTGAGAGCCGGTTCTGAGTTGAGCTGCAAAAAATTAAAACCGGAAAATAAATTGCTCAGTAACTGTTCATACTTTGATCTTTGGTCTAATTAAATCCGTTATTTCTGGGAAAACCCTATAATTCATGTTTTTATAAAGTTGTTAATCAAAAACCACAATTTCGTCATTTATTTTGACTCTAAGTGAGCTAAAATGTTTGGCATAACAGAGAAAAATATTCTGGTACTCGTATTAGTGGCCGGCACCTTACTTAATTTTGATGCACTGTTTTCCTAAGGGGAACTTTTTCTTTGTGTGCTGAGAACACCAACAAGAAGAACCAACAAGAATTCCAGATAAGGTTAAGTACTTGAAAAGAAATGGTCGTTTCAGTATAAGAGTCATTACTTTAACCCTCTATACATATTATAAAGTTATTATAAAGAATAACCAGCTTTCTTTATAATAGAATATATGAGAAAATAGCCGCCAAGGTTGGCCAGCGAATTGTACGTAACTTTCTTATAGGAAAAGTTGGCAAACAAAAATATATCCAGAAGTTTCTATACACTGACGAAAACATGCTTGTAAGAAAACAAATGTAGTTTGTGTCTTTCTATTTTTCTGCTTAAACAATTCGCATCCCAGGAATATTGTCCATGATAATTGACGTTTGGCACATTCAAAAATTCAAAATCATTTCGTTGCACATTGACTTTTGAATGCAATTGTAGCCTATTTTTTAATATCATTTTTGATTGCATGTGAGTACATAAGCATGTAAATAATTTTATAACAAATTCTTTATATTAAATAAAGCTTATAAATATGTTTGCCTAAATGAGAAAACACCAAAAATAAGTTTAAAAAAATGTAAAAAAAAAAGTATTTTGTTGCATTTTGGAAAAAGAACCCAACATGGATTTGAGCAGAAATAATGTGGGCTTAGTCCATTATAAAAGCTGTAAATATCTGAGTTGAATTCTAGAAATTGATACTGAAAACTGCAGAGCTTGCCATTTTTTTTCTTGGTATTATCTTCACCCGCTGTATAATTTTTCACGCAGAGAAATTAAATCTTAGTTATGTTGCTGGACAGATAGAGGATTGATAAAATCAATAATCAATAACGAAACCTCATAAGCTCATAATTAAATAATCAAAAGCCTGTGCCTCCACATAAAAAAGGCTTAAATATATTGTTAAATTTTAACTTGTTCATAAATTCAATGAAAATTTTTTTAACATCGCAAAAAAATCACATTTTTTTGCAGTTGTAAACTAGATGAATTTAAATGTAAAGTTTGGTTATTCCAGCAACTTGCGTTTATATAAAGGAGGTTCTGCCGGACATGGCTACATCCACTCGTCCCGATCAAGATATTGTATGGATATTTTGTAGTGGGGTCTGCCACGCATCTTTCTGGATGTTAAACATATTCGCACTAAACTAGTATGACGTTTAATGCTTTAGAAGCAGGTTATAAAATTGTCCCGCTTGAAATTCAACCCAAAAAGAACTTAGGTAGGCGGCCAAGGCAAATAAATTGTGCTACTAAATAAATAGGGACGGCAATGCAGGCAATGCATGTCTCTATAAAAGGAACATGCACATATGTGTGTACATTTGTTTGTATTGCACCAGATGTGCTGGCGATTACGTATACGTCGCGTAAGCCAAAGTTGACATGTCAAAGTAAAAGTGCAGAGAATTCTTTTATCTTCGCACCCTGAACAAGAAAGCGCAAAAAGCGCGAACGCTGAAAACAAGTAACAAAGAAAAACAGAGCAACAGACAAATGGGGCACATGGCAAACGCGGAGGAAACGTACATACATACATAACGAAAATAAAACGAAATGTTGAAGTTGGCATCGCTGCTTCGGTCGGCGTCGGACGCTGACGCAGGCGTCTCGCTGCCACTGTCGGTGTCGCTGCTGCCGTTCTGTTGCTCAGTGTGTCGAGGTGGCGACAGCTTCAACGGGCTGAATGTATTTCAAGTTCAAGGTTAAGATACTAGTCGAGATACACACAGACAGACACGTACACGACTGGTTGCCAGCGCGCTAATGCGCGAGAGCGAGCCAGAGGCAAATAGCTTTCGCTGTGAGAGAGTGTGCGTGTGTGTGTGTGTGTGTGTCAAACCAGTTTGGCACGTTTCGCCACATGAACGAGAAAGAAAGAAAGAGAGAGAGAAAGAGCAAGAGAGAGTGAGAGCAGCGGGTAGAACGTCAAACAACGAGGAAGCAAAGGCAGCAGCGCACAACGAACAACAGCAACAATTGCAGCAACAGAAAAAAGCGCTTCAAACAACAATAAAGCCAACTGACACGTACATACACACATATATACATACATAGTCACGTTTATGTACATATATATGTACATGCATTGACAATACGAACGTAAGCAAGCAGCTGTCTCGCTTGCGCGCATCTCACAGAAACGTTAAATTTCGTTTTCTGCTCGTGTTTACCGATAAAAAGCGCACAAAAGCAAAAATAGTAACAGCTTTAAAACAAAAAAAAGAGAGTATCAAAATAAAAATAGCGTCCCAACACCCGTCGTTTTTAGCGTCTGTTTGCTTTGTGACGCTCATTCGCACTTATTGCCTCACTCTTTTTTATTATTATTTTCACAAACACTCACTCACACACGCTGCTAACCGTTTAATTTTGAAACTGCGAGTACTGCGCCTGCAGTGCACGTCAGCCAGAGCAGTACCCTTCCCCAGGACATCACACCCCTCCCTACAGGCATTCCAGCTGCCCGTTAAATGGACTTTCAGCAATCCGACCCAAAGCCAATCGATTTTAGGCGAGCGCTATAGCTCACGTATTTGGCAAGTGCACTGTGCGAAATTTGCATCAATATCAAATGCATATAGTATACGAGTATAGATATTGGCACACATACATACACATAAGCATATACGTATGTTTGTATTTAGTGCATGCATAGCTCAGCGATTTACAAAGAGTCTCCGATTTTATGGCAACATTAGGAATAGTTTTTACAGTTTTTCTTTCTGCTGTTGCTTAGTTTTGAGTTCGTTGCACTCGGCACAGGTGGATGCAACGCCCCCGAAAGACCTTGTCCGCTAGCTGAGCTATGCACGGGAAGTGAAAACATTAGGTATTTAAAGTGCATTCTCATATGTATGTAGATTGCGTTAGGAGTCTTCACGCTATTGAATATTTTTCCAAATACAATACATTTTTAATTCTAACTAACAGATACGTATTGCAGTACGCCAGTCTATGTTTTATGCCAATAAACTTCTATGAACAGTCTGTCAATATATAAGGAATATTGCATCCAGTTTTCCAATTTCTTTATCCATTCTTGTACAATTTTGAAAGGCATAGAAAGGCCTTTTCAAATCGTACAAATTGGTGTTACGAATCCGTATGACGTACAGAACATTATCGGAAGTAAAAAATAACTGAAAGAAAGGGCGCGTCTGTTGGACAGTTATCAAACATTTTTGTTTATATTGTAATTTAGTATTTATTTAAATCTTCAAAAAAAGTACCCACCAAAAAGAAAAGCTAGCTATAAGATTATTATATGTTTTCTACATTTTGGCTTTGCGGATTTCCAAAATTATTTGAAAATACCTAGACTATTATAGTGCTGAGATTATTATAGGGGGAACTACATATTTAAAAAGTGTATAAAAAAAGTACCACCCAAGGGCGTAGGCAGCTTTTACCAAAGGGGGGCCAAAAAATTAAAATTTTGATTAAATTAACTTATGCATATGATCAATGAAAAAACTTCAACAAATCCAACTCGGGTCTATTTTAAGGCGAAATAATGCGTAATAATAATGAACGTGTGGTCGACCTTAAATGCAAAATTTTTTCAACAAAACATGTGCGTCTGTCGGAATTTTAAACAAATTTTAGGAGCAATTACAGTGAAAACTCTCTTGGCCGGACATTCACGGTCGGCCAATTTTTGCCCGCTTAAGGGGATACTTAAAAACTTTATACATCGTTCGAATGTTTTAGAAAAAGTGTCCGCCGAAGAGAGTGTCCGGCCGGATAAAAGAGATGTCCGTTGATGGAGTTTTCCTGTACACCACTTTAGGAACATATCTACAACATTGGACTTGGTCTAGCGGCAAGTATTGCCAAAGTAGGCATAAATATAAAAATCGCTGAAATCAAGCAAATTTATAATACACTCATATGGAACAACGTTAAAAAGTGCTTGCCCAACAGAATGTAGCGAATTTTGACATGTCATTCCAAAAAATTAAGGATGCATGGTATGGAATACCTGTGAAAAAATGCAGGCGCTTTATAATGTCCTCGCTCCATCGCTCATAAAATATTTGAGTTAGAAATTTGAATTCAACTGTGGTTTGTTTTTGAGTTCATAAGTCTCACATATATATCATGTGTACATTTTATGGAGCTCTTCAAAAAAATGGGGAAATATGATGAAATCCTCAACCGGCACCGCTAGTGTAGGTACCTTTCTTATCGATATACGCATTATTTTTTATTTATCATGAGTCACCTCAATGGTCTGAAATGCTCGCTGTTTCCTTGTACATATGTATGTATGTACATACGCATGTACGTGAACTGATTTGCTCTGTGCGCGCATTCCAAGCAGTTGCCAAGTGCAAAATTTTAAAATATGAACATAAGTACACACATACATATGTACAAGCAAATATATGTACATACATATGTGTTTAAAAATGCAAATTGATGTTTGCCTTCTTTTTGCGATCACATACATATACATACATGCATATGTATGTATGTATTTACATGTACATATGTGCATACAAGCTTCATGCAAACATTTGTACGAGAGTTTGTGGAATTTTAAACAGAAATGTTTTTGTTTATTTATTTTTAGTGCGAAACTGCGTCAGCATGGAAATTTAATTAGCGACGGTCGAGAGAGTCAGCAACAACAAGCCACACACACATTCACAACATGAGCTTGCCCGAAAGTAAACACGAACGGGGGAAGAAAATAAATCATATGAGCGTTTCCGTCGTGTATGCGTCCTCGACGCTGCTGTTGCTGTTTTTGCATGACGACAACAAGAAAAGACCAAAAAAGGGAAACAATGGAAGTGCACCACAAGCACAAACCATCCTCGCTCCGAAGACAGCAGCTTCCAAGCGAGCGGCGCGGCCAATGCAACGCACGTACATGTGTATCGCTGTGTGAGTGTGTGTGTGTGTGCGAGCGGGCAAACAAATATGTCGCAGACATGCGTACTGGCCCCCAACTTGAACTTGAAAATATTTTTATTGTTGCGCTCGTCGGCTGTTCCATTAAGCTTGTAACGAGCTTCGACGGAAGCGACCGCTATCGTGACTGCGACTGCGGCAGACACAGCGACAGCGGCAGAGACGTCACGCTCCGCAGCACCACTGACGACGCATAAATTAGCAACACGCCGGCAAACGGTAGGGAGAGGCAGAAACAAAGTCAGAGAGAGAGAGAGAGAGAGAGCGAAAGCTCTTCTGGAACTGGAGTGCAATGGTGAGCGATGCAATTGCAGGCATGTAAGTATCTATATACATATGTATGTACATACAAATGTATATAAGTGTGCACGTGTACGTGTGTACGTGTTTGGCTGCAAGCTGAGTGACAATATTGAAAACGCTAAGTTCAAAGGTTAATAATTTAATGAGATACAAACGGAAAAAACAGACAGGAGGAATCGCACATCGATTAATAATATTTGTTGTTGTTAACAGTGCGAGCAAAAGCTCTTTGACTTGGAGAAAGCTTGCGCCAGCTTTTGCGTGGGCGCGTTTAAACGTCGGCGCCAGCTGCCAACTGTTTGCTCCTGTTTGTTGCTGCAGCGGTGTCGTCCAAGCAGCTGCCTGCCAGCAACTTTCTCTTTCAGGACCAGCTGCGTGTGTCCGTCGTGTGTATGCATAATGCTGTTGCATATTTTTCGGGAAGTGGCGCACGAGATGACGCGCACCTGTGCGCCACCACCCGAGCTGCACTGCAGCCAGGATACTGAGGCTGCTGCGCCGACTGTTGCTGCCACTTCGCACAGGTTCGCTGCCTGGCAAAAAACGTTTCAGTGTTGAGCGCGCACTCGTCACAGGCACACACGCGACTCATAATAACAAGATAAGGGCATCAATTGAAGTACAGACACACACACACGCTAAATATATTGAGCATACGCCTAGTTGTGTGTGTGAGTATGTATATGTTTGTGTATATGGCAAAACAAATTTGTGCGCGACTGTGCGTTAATTTTGTGACGCGTCAAGTAACGACGAAAACGCAGATAAAGTAATCAGGTGTGGGAAATTGATTTGCTGATATAAATAAACGTAGGTGTGTGAGGCTGTGTTAAGTGTTGTGGCATCTGACAAAATTTTGTGAAATTCAATTTGAATAAAGACCAAGATACATTTTTAACTGCCTCATACGCACACATTTACACGCACTCACACACACACACACACAAGTCGAAGGAGCTGGTCAAACCTCCGCCTTAACATATGCAACACATTTTGTACGCCTTTGTTGTTATTACGCTTTGACCTTTCCATCGAAAACACACGCCCTCGGAAACATGCGTAAGCAGCCCTCGAACACACAAACACATCCGCATACACACCTAAACCCAAGCGAGATATGCAAAGGGACCTAAAAGGCTCAAACAAGTAGAAGAGCATGAAGGCAGGCAGTCGGGCAGCTGTTTGGTGGACACGAACAGCAAACAGCAATCGGGAGTACAGCTTTAAAGGGCACAGATGCCTTCGTGACGAAATATCAACTAGTCGAACACTATAAGGAGGTGCTGACGTTAATCAAATTCATCGACAGAAAATAAGGATGAAACGCAACAAGTTGTGCATTAATTACTTTTCAATACTTCCAACTCCATACTTCTCTCCAATAGAATAACTGCAGTGTCCATTTCCAACCCAAATAAGCTCAGTAAGCTATTATATGGCCCTGGCACAGCAGTATAATTGCAGATTAGTTTCCGCAAACTACAGATAATTAATTAATACCGGTATCTATACATATATGTATGTACATTAGAGTATATAAGAACAACTATGCAAGATGCTATTAAGGTTTGACTATCAGTAATGGCAGTGCGAACTCGTTCTTTGCTTTTTTTTATTGTCTATCATAGACATCATAGATGTCCATACGTTTGGTTTCGTGTGCAATTCATAAACGCGGTGGAACAACAAAAACAACAACAAATGTGCATGCATTGCAGAGATTGCCATGAGCTTGTGGTGTTTGTCCGTGCTAAGCTTTCAGAGAGCTTTCGGTAATATGTGCTTCTGTGCGACTGCCACTGGATACACCCTGTGCTCGCTCTGAAATTCTGCAAGCAAGTGAACACAGCTGGTGGTATCCAGTGGCCGATTGCACAAATTCAGCTATAACAACAGCAATAACAACAACAACAACATCAAACGTCATGGAGCCAACAATGATTGAGGACTCGACAAGCATGTACTGTGTGTATGTGTGTGTGTGTGCTATAACAGCAACAGCCCATGGCGCAGCGCATGGCCTTGCGTACAGGGTGAGTCCTGCATATGAAGTTCTCGCATATTTCTTTCAAGTCCCGATTTTATATTTTAACTTAATTTACATTTACATTTTAGTTAATTACAACTATAATTTTACCATACTAAAAAAATTTTTAGCCATAAGCTTCAGTTTGTTTAAACCCGTTTTAGTTACCACGTTACGTTACAAAACAAAAACATACAAAATTTGAAGCATTGAAGAAATTGAAATGAAAATTGAAATTATTTTTAAGAAAGTTACAAAAAGTCACATTTGTCAACAATTGCAAAAAATCAGTGAGAACCTTAACGAATCAACAAAAATTGCATATATATCTCGTATCGTATATATTTTCAGCATTTTCTTGTTACACATACATACATACCTACATACATACGAACTTCTTTACATACATATGTACATACTTGCATATGTATGTATATTCTTCTTATTTATATACATATGTACATATCGGCGTCCTCCCTACTCTCCATCCATCATTCTTTGGTATTCTGTTGTTTATTTCCTTTTCTGCATTCTCCATTTTGCAATTGCTCAACGGTTTTTTTTTGTTTTTTGGCATCTAGAGATTGGCTCCAATATTCCCATATCTCGACACACTTCTTCTTTATGATGCGCTGGGGCTTGGCTGTCCATGGCATCGCTCGAATGCGCCATCAAATGCAACGCTCTGAATCGTCTCTGGGCAAGCTACAAACCAACCAGCCCGTAGTAATGAGTGAAATTTCTATTGCTGATCCCTCTTCATTCATATGAGTACTATGTATATAAATATATATGTACATATGTACATATGCACAGAAATATGTGCGATATGTAGAGGAAATCAGTTTTTAGAAATCTGCCGTGGCAAACAATTAAACATTTGTGTGCTGCAAATTGATTTGATTTAGCACGCTCGGAAAATCGCGTGCAATGAAAATCATTTTCAAATTTCTATTTTCGTTGCCTTTCGCTTCGTTCCGTTCGGCGGGTCTCTAGAGCAGAGACGGCCCGACTACTTTGTTGGCCAACTTGCTCAACGCTTTGACTTTGTGGGTCCACTGTAGGTTCTTGCAAAGGCAACCCGGTGACATTATTTCGACATCTATTTGCATGCTGCTGCATTGGCTTTTGTCACTTTGCATTTCAAATGACCGTCAATTATCCTTTGTCGTCTACATCCCGCTCCCGCTCCCACTCTCTATCTCTATCTCATTTTCTCTTGCTTTCTCGCTGAACCGCTCTTCTGTCCCGTTGGGGTGCAGAGCAGCCATGAGGTCAAGGAAAACGAAATTGATTTTCTTTGCGGCCTTTTTCTGCACATTCTTTGACGGGCCGTGTATTTTACACGCTCGTGCATTTCAAAGTCGTTTTCACTAACGCCTTATGTAATCAAAAGACCCACCATGGCCCAGTGCCCAGTGCCAAGTGCTAATCACTGTCCACACAGACAACGTCAGCCGTTTTACATGCATCGCTGCCTCGTCAACTTGCCACACTTTGTTGGCCCACAAGATTTACTGACAGTGCCCAGTTTCAAATTTTTCCACAACGATTCCCATTGTTAGCGCATTCCCTTTGTTGGAACGCACCCATATGCCTCCATATATTTACTATATATGTAACTATTTCTGTACTCAGAGACGATTTCAGACAGTTTCGATCTCGATGACCTCATGACAACATTCATGATGAAATGTGCTTAGATATGAGCCAATACTTACTCAAAACGAAATGTGAGGCTCGAGCGCAATTAAGACCCCATATATACAAACATACATGTATAAAGTAAGACTTGTTTACTGAATTATCACAATCAACGTTTGATAAACAAAAAACAAGGGTTCTGTGAGAAAAAAGGGCTGTTGGACACTGGGCTACGAGTTTGAGTTCAAATAGGTAGTTCCCCTTGAATTGTTTTCTTCCAGTTATCCACATATTAAAGCTTCGCTTGTGTAAATACTCTTTTAGCTTAGTACTTTGTCATTTCTATTGAGCCTGAGCCATTATAACCGCCTTAAAACAATGTTCAAGCTCAAATTTTGCCAACTTTGTATGTTTAATGATAACATTTTCAAAAGGTTTTCAAATGCATAAATGCATTGAACTGGAATGTTCAAATGAATAATTCATTTATTTAAAAAAGTTAGAAAATTATTTAAAGTAACTCACCAGATTCTTTTTAATATGTAGAATAGGAATATCATGGAAAAGGTTTTAGAACAAAAATGCTATTTTGTCGTGGGTTGAACCAAAATAATTCGACCCTCATTAATTGACAAAATTTTGATACTCTCACACCTTCACGGCTCTTCATATTAGCTTCTGTAGAAACTACATGCGATTTCTAAATGCTCCATATAAACGCACTGTCCTTAAACAGTAAATTCAGTGCCTAGACTCCTTCAAATTAAACAGCTCTTTCGGTTCCTTTACTGATAGAAGAAAGTATGTACATATATATTTGCAGGTCAAATGACAGTAGAACGGTTCGACTACGCAAGTTTTCAGTAATCGCTAAATCTGATTTAAGTCTTAGCTTAATATAAAACATATTGTACCAACTTAAAGCAGGATTTAATGCAATAGAAACAGCTTCGGCAATATTTTAGCCTACTTCATCACTAATTTAGAAGAATCGTACACGATTATTCATTTCTCATCAATGAGAATATGAAAAAAGTTTTAAGTCGATTCCAAATACGCCACGACTCTTAAATGAAAGATGCCACACTTCTTTTTACCCCACAACCGAGGCGCAACTCCATATTGCAGGTATTAGAGCAAAATTGCGAATTGCAACTCATCGAGAACGCATGACTTGGTCAATAGATGCCGATAAAATCGGCAGCAGCTGCTGACCTCAAATGCGAAAAATGCGAAACTTAATTTTCAATTTAAGTTGACCTTACAAAAAATTTGATCGATAATTTCACATAATTGCGGAATGCGCTCACACCCATACACATTCAGCGTCGCATACATATGCGTG